AAATCATCCTGCAGGGTTACTATTGGCCAACTATTCAGCAGGACTGTTTTGGGCACACAAAGAAGTGCAAAATATGTCAGCTCTACGCACCAGTACCTGGGCGGCCCGCGACCTTTTACACTCCAATGACCATATCATTACCATTCGCTAGATGGGGGATCGACTTGCTAGGGCCCCTACCTAATGCGACCGGAGGAAGGAAGTACATCATAGTAGGGATTGATTACTTCACCAAATGGGTGGAAGCCGAACCCCTGGCCAGTATCACGGATTTTCAATGTCAACGTTTTGTTTGGCAGAATATTATATGCAGATTCGGGCTGCCCGAGCAGGTCATCACGGATAATGGACGACAGTTTGTGAGCAAGAACTTCGAGGAATTCCTCACTAGATGGGGAATCAAGCATTCAAGGGCTTCCGTAGCATATCCGCAGGCGAACGGGCAGGTAGAGAACATGAACAGAACCATCATGGATGGTATAAAAAAGAAGCTCGAAGATTACGCATCAACCTGGCCCGAACAGTTAAACTACGTCTTGTGGACATACAGGACAACTCCCCGAACAGCAACCGGAGAGACACCGTTCGCCCTCGCTTATGGATTTCAGGCTAAGGTCCCAACTGAGGTCTTGGTGCCCACTCACAGAACCATCCACTATGATCCTGAGCAGAATGAGGACAATCTGCGTGCTGAACTCCACTTCATAGAAGAAAGAAGGGATCTCTCAGCTTTACGAATGGAGGAATATCACCGGGCAACTAAGAGGTATGTGGATAAACAGGCTAAAATCCGTTCGATCAAAGTCGGAGACCTTGTCCTGAGGAATAGAGAAAAAAGCAAACCGCTAGAGGGCGGGAAGATGTCAAAGAATTGGGAGGGACCATACAGGATCTGGAAAAAATACCGGACGGGGACCTTTTCACTACAGGATACCGAAGGCCGTCCGGCAGGGATATGGAACGCTACGCATTTGCGGAAATTTTATCAATAAAAAACGGCTGTTGCCACCTCTGACAAAAAAAAAAAAAAAAAAGGAGGGAGAACAATGTTTCCAACGGGGCCAGAGTTAAGAGGGAGATTGCGAGCCGAACGGTATCAACATGCCGAACGGCATCACCACAAACTCGGCCAAAAGTCTCACCTTGATCTATAGATATCATTTATCTCGATCCATGGGGAGCCATCATCTCAGCACAAAAAAAAAAAAAAAAAAAAAAAGTGCAGGATACCAAGCCCGGACTCGGCTTGGGAGATGGTGTAAAAGATCTTGAGTAGGACGAACCGGGCGGCATCCGAAGTCATAGGGTGACCGAGCGGGGGATCGGGACTCTGGTCTTAAAATCTTGCCTTGGGCATACAGCTCGTCTGAACTTTATGGTGGTGGAACCCGAGCTGTATCCTGGAGGCGAGTCTCCATTTTGGCAGAGAATAAGGGGGAGACCCGAATTGGGAGCCTTATTCTCAACGGTCCAGGATGGACATCTCAACCTCATGATATGGATGACCCCGGACGGTAAAACCGACGGTATGCATCGAAATTATGGGCTTGGAAGATGGCAGACACTACACGAATTGTGAAATTGTCTTGCAGCAAGAGGTGATTGCCTTGCGAATAAAGAATACCGCGGAAGATAACCCGAACAGGTTACTCTAGCCTTCAGGGAACAACCAGTCGACGGTAATAAAACCGGACGGCATGCATCTGAAACATGGTGCTCGGAGGCGCAGCAAGCATTTAACATTGATGACTTGCGCGTTCAAGGAACAACCAGTCGACGGTAATAAACCGGACGGCATGCATCTGAAACATGGTGCTCGGGGACGCAGCAGGCGTTGAACATTATGTCTTGCGCGTTCAGGAAACAAAGAACAACAGACGGAAATAAATCGAACAGCTTGCACCTCAACTTTGGTGTTAGGGAAGGGTCGAACAGCTTACATCTCAATCATGAGGCTGAGTTGAAAAAAAAAAAAAAAAAAAAAAAAAAAAAGTGTTCGGGAAGAAAGTCATTCGGAAACGGATCAATCTTTATTCTTCGGCACTACTGACCGGGAATTATACATGAGAAGAAGAAAAGGAGATTACAACAGAGATAACTAAGCTACGGGAGGATCCTTGTTCGGCACGGCATCCGAGTTGGGGTTCGGGGGATTGGCTGAATCTTTAGCCTTCTGCCTCTTCTCCATCACCCGTTGATAAGCACGGCAGAATAAGGGGTCGAAACCTTCCTCCTTGGGGTCAAAGGGTTCATCGAATGATTCCTTGATCACTTCCAGATTCCGGTCGACCAACATATCCTGGCACTTAACAAGTGTGTCCCTTGCTAGGGCATTGACGAAGGCTGTCCCGGACGGGGTCTCATCCAGGAGCTGGAGGCCGTCACGAAGAGGATCCTTACTCTTCTTCAAGAACTCCCCAAGATGCTTTCCAAGGAACTCCCGGGCAGTCTCCTCCAGGGCTACGTTCAAACCTTTACCCCTTTGGAAATCAATCACTGCCTGCTGAGTGATTCTAGAAATATCGGCCTGAACGGGTGCTGCTGGCTGTCCGCCCTCTTTAGGCTGGGTCTTTTTAAACTTAACACCAGCAGCTTCGGCAGCAGCAATCTTGTCCTTCAGCGCCCGGATCTCCCGATCGCGACGCTGGAGCCTCTGCTCCAATTCGGCCAATTCAGCCCTGGCCTTGTCACCCTTGTTGGCTCGATCTTGGAGATCTGCAGCCATTTTCCTAGCAGCAGCCAAAAGGGTTTGGCTCTCGTCCAGCTCCTGATGAAGGAGGGTCATCTCCCGTTCAGCTGCTAGGAAGGCCCGGTGATAGTATGTACCGGCCTGTGGAAAAAGAAACAGCAGTAAGAACAAGTTCAAAAAATGTTATAAAAAGAAAGAACTGAACGGTCAAAGGCATACCTTAAGGGACTCAGCATGGCCTGCTTCGACCAAATCAGACCAATGGGTCAAGTTGGTGAAGCCCTCGCCAGCTTTCAAAGAAGTGCTGCACCACATGGAGGATGCAGTCTGCCCGAACAGCGTCCGGCATTCGGCTCGGGGACCCATGGCGGAAAACTCCACCGTCAACCGATCGGGGATCGGGAGACTACCTGAAGCAACGCCTCCCCTGTCGCCCAGCTTCCTTGAAGGGGAGGGGACCATGGGCATCCTTTCCACAGAAGGATCCGTCAGGTCAATGACCTGGTCAATCGGGACCAAGGCGCCGCTGCTTTCGATTCTCGGCCGCTTGTTTACTGGCCCAGATTCCCGGCCAGCCAAAGAACCTGACTGAATAGCCTTCTCCTTTCCCTTGCTAACTATGGCGGTGGAGGGAGTAGGAGCAGGACGCTTTATGGAGACGGGGGGAATCACACCTACAGGAAAGAACAAAGAAAAATGAACAAGAGGTTGAAAAATACACCGAACGAACAAAGTAAGGGAAGAAACATACCAATGCCAGCAGCTAGCATCTTAGCAGGAGTCAAGAAGGACCGTAGGTTCTTGGAACCGGCCAGACGGAGCCTTTCGTACTGACAGACAATATCTGCGTCCACCTTTGGGGAGGCATCCTGAACGGGGTAGGTGTTCCACCGATCAGGGAAAGGAAGCGGCGACCCCACATGAACGAACAAAAATCGTTCCTCCCATTTCCCCGGCGGGGTGGGGTTGTCGGTGAAGAGCGAACGGCCAGGGCGGGCGACAAGCCGCAGGTACCCCGGTGGTCCAATAGGGCTGGACGCCGTAGCAGTGCAAAAAGAGGTCGGCGCTAGGGGCAATCCCCAACTCATGGCACCAGACGATAAAACCGTTCAGGATCCTATAAGTGCTAGGCACGAACTGTGCTGGCAGTACTGAGACCCGGCGAAGGAACTCCACAATAAAAGGGTGCAACGGGAACCGTAGACCGGCGATCAGCGCGTCCATGTGAACCAGCACACATCCCGGACGATGCCGCATGGGATGCTTAATATACCCCGCATAAAACTGACGGGGTGGCGGTAATAGTTGGCGGAGCATCTGTTCGGCATCTGCAGGAAGGCGTTGACGCTGTTTCCTGATGCAGTGGAAGTTCAGACTATAGCGAGGGGGGCGTTCAGGCATACCCCTTTCGTAAACTACAAGGTCATCCCCCGACTGACATCCATCATCAGGGAGGGGCTGTTCGGGATGAAGTGAGGAAGAAGACCCGTTAGAACCCGACGATCGGGTAGATGTGCCTTGATCTTTGGGGTGAGCTTTTCCCCTCGAATGGCGAATCAGAGTGGACACCATCTCTTCGGAATCTGACGAACCAGAAAAGGCAGACATAAAATAACAGAGAAGATTCTAGAGAGAGAAAGCTTGAAGGAATTCAGAAGCAGCAGAAAAAACTGAAACAAAGTAGCTACATCCTTATATAAGGAGATGCTACCGCCAAGAATCCAAATGAATAACTGACAAGTGTCAAGACGGTTGGGAGAAGTTAAAGCATCCTTTGGGATAAGAGAACACCCGAACGGGTTGAAGTCAACAAAGTTCACGAACCTCTACAATTGAAAAAGAAAAAGGCTACAAGTGTTTCCCCGAACGGGATACACCCAAATGTAATGAAGAATGATCGGTGTACCCGAACAGTATGGTTAGCTTACATGGAAATATCTGGCAGATGCAACGAAGAAGGTAACACTACATCCCGAATGCTGAACACAATTACCAACTAGTTAAAAAAAAAAAAAAAAAAAAAAAGATGGTTGTACCCAGTACAGGAGTTTATACCCCGAACAGATGGGGAGGAAAAAAAAAAAAAAAAAAAAAAAAACATAGTACCCAGTACAGGATGGTTGTACCCAGTACAGGAATTTATACCCCGAACAGAGGAAGAAACATAGTTTATACTCCATAATAAACTATGGAGTTCATTATGAATGATATCGAATAAACAGGTCGATCAATATTAAAATCCTAAATTCTGAACTTAGCGAAGGGGTGACGCAAACCGGAGACCTGATCGCTTCAGATTACGTATTACAGAGGCAAATTGATAGGTGAAAAACAAATATGAAGTACAGTAAGTCACAAAGACGAGATGAGCAGGCAAAAATTGTATATTCATCGGCTCTACTGGCCGGAAAGTACAAAAACTACTGATTCAAAGGAAAGGAAATACAGATAATGTCTAATCTACTGTTCGGGATGATCTTCACCCTCTTCATCATCTTCTTCATCATCAGCTTCGTCAACAATTTGCACCACATCCATCCCCAGGGCTCGCCGGCACTTTTTCATCTGAGCCATCAGGGCGTTCAGATGATCGGGATGAAGATCAGCGGGAAAGTCAGAGGGTTGCACCGCTCGGCCCATATGTTTTTCTATGAGGGGGAGGAGAGGCTGAAGCATATGTTGGCAACCTGAGCTGTAGACCCCGCGGGCGAAGTTTTCAGCCCACTCCTTGGTGACAGAATGCTGATCAAGCACCCTGATCCCCTCCTTCTGGCGCTCTTCTCCGGCCAGTTTCTCCAAGTGCCTCCCGAAAACAGCAGGGAGCTGTTCGGTGGCGTATTCTTCCTTGAGAGCCAGAAACTCCTCGGAAGCTTTGAATTGATCCCGAACGGCAGATAGATCAACTAACATTTCAGCCGGGCCGTCCGGGATTTGAGGAGGGGCCTCAGAAAACTTGACCTGAGCGGCCTCAGCTGCCGCGATCTTGGCCTGGAGAGAGCCCACCATGACACGAAGCTCCCCAGCCTCAGCTTCTAGCTTCCTCCGCTCCTCGGCAAAAGCCCGGCGTTCGGCCTCTGATGCCTGTTCAGCCGTTTCCTTGGCCATCAGCAGCCCTTGTTCCTTGGCCTGCCTGGCCTCTCTGAGTTTCAGGCTGTAGATCCCTACCTGTTGATCGAGTACAAATAAGAAATGAGAACCTGGTAAATTAATGAACAACCGAAAAAAAAAAAAAAAAAAAAAAAAGTTACCTTCAGGGCAGCCAAGGCAATACACTCTTCGGCCTCCTCGACCGGCATCGGAGGAAGGTTATGCCCATTAAGGAAGCCCGAGGTGGACCAAATCTGGCTTGCTGGACAGCCTCCCCTTTCCAGCATTCCATGAGCGGGATCTTGAAGGGAGATCTGCTCAAACTGGCTCGCCAAATCAGCCTGGTTGGCGGCCAGTTCCTCAGCGGAAAAGTGGTGAGGCTGCTGATCAGAGAAGAGCTGATCCATCAGCATATCAGCATGTGAAGATTGCTGTTCAGGGGCAACCTGCTGCACAGGTTCTACATCCCGAACAGGTTCAGACTGCTCGGGGACGACGGGGGCGGATTGGGAGGATGTCCCCTGATCGGCCTTCCTCAACCTCTTCCTCTTTGTCTTCCTCTGCTGCTTGGGAGGAGAGGTTGGTGGCTCGTCATCAAATCCAACAGTGAAAAGCCTGCTGTCATCCATAGCCGGTTGTTCGGGATTGGCTCCTTCGGAGTCTGAAGATTCGCCTTGCTTTAGAGCTGAAAAGATAACAAAGGAACAAGTTAGTACCGAGCGGTTCACACGTGGATTTATAGTACTATCACACGGGAAGGACCGCCCGGGCCATGGTACTTGGTTTTCAGTCAAGTAGGTCCAGGAATACGGGCAGTACCTATCCCGGCCCTAATTAGCCGTTCGGGAGTCAGGTAAGACATGATTTTGAAACAGCCTCCTGCCTCCACAGCAATGACATCTTGGCTAAGCTCCTCAGAGATGAATGGCTCGGGGGATTTAGGAGGAAATGCGTTCCACTTCCTAGGAATCAAACCGTTCGGGACAGAGACAAAGAAAAACCTATCTTTCCAACCCTTAATGGAAGAAGGGGCATCACAGAACAAAATATGTCCTGGACGGGAGCTTACCACCAGGAAGCCGTGGGACTGCTGAGGGATAACCGAAAAGAAATAGTGGAAAAGCTCTAGAGTGGGTGTGACCTCGACACTGTGACAACGACAAATGAAACCAGCTATCGACCGGTAGGAGTTCGGCATTATTTGGGCTGGTACTACATTGTAAAAATTTAAAAGGGAGACAAAAAAGGGGTGAATTGGGAATCTAAGGCCGGCCTTGACTGAGTCGAAATGGACCACAACCATCCCTGGGAAGTGGCGCATTGGGTGAAGACCCGATTGAAGGCGGAAGTCCACCGAATCAGGAATTAGCATCTGAATTTGGGCCCGATTCTGGGCCGTGAGCTTTTGGCGCCTAAACCTAATAAGAGCTAGGTCAAGCTTATGACAGGAAACGCCGCTTGGAGGGCCGGCTTCCATAACCTCCAATTCATCCCCCGATTTGGTGCCATCAGAATAAACATCGGAGGAAGAGGAATCATCGCCGTTAACCTCCGCCGGAATACGGACAACTTGCAGCGTATCATTGGGGTTTTCTTCTGGAATTACAGTACCGGAGGTAGAAAGTTCAGATGAACGAAGGGGTGCCATTCTCACCGAACGAGGGAACTAAACAGTAGAAGGAAACTCGAAGGATACCTGAACAGAAGCTACGGATGAAGCTCTAGAGAAGGATGAATTATAAGCCGGAGATGCAAAGTTTCGAAACCCAGAATCAAAACCAGAAGAGCCTATTTATACTCTGTCACGCCGATTCAGCTGCCAATCAGAAGAGGACACGTTTTTTGTAATGATGACAGAGACACGTGTCGCACAGAGAATCCTTCTCAAGTAATCATGACGTTTATCGGAGAAGCGAAACGGCAGTTGCAAATAACCGTCAGAACATGCCTCGGGAACCGGCGGAAGTCCATCCGATACTATCAACCGAACAGCATTCGGGCAATAATCTTCTACTTCCTTATGCGCTCACTACCGTTCGAGACATAGGAAGTGGGGGACTAGTGTTGGGATATTGGGTCCAGGCCCAATATCCCTAGGCCCAAATCCAGGGAGAAGCAGCAAGCCCAAAGAACTCCCGAACGGCATTCGGGATAAAACTTATACTTGGAACATTCTGGGTAACGATTATGCCAAGGTATCAAGGCCCAAATATCGATCGGCGTTTGGGATACTTCAGGTAGAAATTCACCTATGGCGGGGTCCCATACACCGAACACCTTGACCGAACGGGCAATCAGCAAGTGGAGGCCGCATTTAATGCTGGATCATGGCGGCAACAAGTGGGGGCATGGGTGCTTACATGGCAGAGGTGATAGCCTACCAGATTCGACCACGTGTCCACCTTACCCATCCCCATTTTAGTATAAATACCCATGTTTAGATCATTGTAAAGGGTTAGCATTTTAATACTCAGAGCTTAGCAATAGATTTACATCTCCCATCCTTGTAATCCCATATTCATCTACCGTTCGGGTAGTTTCAGTGTAATTGCTTAATTACAGAATATAAGTAAGTTCTTGAGTTGGATATCATTTCACTATTTTATATTTTACACACATTTCAATCAACCCTACCCAATATCCCTACAATATCCAAGGCTTGTGTTGGGCTTTCGGATCTTCGGGAATAAACCTCAACAAATGATAATATTAATAATAATAGTAATAACACTAAAATAACTTTTTAAAAACAACAATACCCTCAAAGGGTAGCCCATATATACATTTATGCATACAGATTCCAAGCACATTTGTAATAAATCAGAATATAAATACGAATACAAATCAAATTTTTGGTTCAAATGTCTTTCAAATACAATACAAATAATTATGTATTAGATTTGAAGAATGAAATTAGAGTCGTTTGACTTTGATATATACAACAATTATCAAATTATTTCACGCATTATAAGTATAATTTCAAAAGTGTTTAGAATTATATTTTATTAATCATAAAATTGAATCACTTTAGTATATAGTGCACAATCTAAAAATGCATTGATTCATTAAACTTAAATTCTAAAAACACATATTAAGTCAGAGCATGCATTTACAACATAAAAAATATAAGAAAAGTTATTTTAAAGCGATATTTGACTAATATTTCACCTATTCTCAAATCGATTCGATATTCGTATATAATTCGTTAATTATTCGTATTGTTGAACAAAAACAAATACAAATCGAAATTAATATTCGTTTCATATTTGAATTCGAATTCGTATTTGAAAAAATTACACAAATACAAATACAAAATTCCACTATTCGATTCGGTTTGTTTACCATCCTAATATACAGCAGTAGAGGTTACGGTACTTTTGGTACGTACGGTACCTCAAGGGTCCGTAGAATTTACCTCTATTTAATAATCAAACCAGATACTCTTCTTACGTGTAGCCCAAAATCTTTTTTTTTTTAAAGTTGGTATTATCCGTTTCTACGTGGTATACATTAATTTGGTGAGATAAATAAAATCCCAAATCAATTGAATCCAAATTTTCGAGATTTGAGTAACATGTGTATCTTAGTTGCACCGATTCTTGAAGCTAGCGAATACTATGAATCTGTGAGACTGTGATATAAATGTCAACAACACGTAGGTCGTAATTTACTGACATGTTGGGCTAGAAAATATACTATTTCGATTTCTAACTTTAACACTATAAAGTGAAGAGATTCTTCTTGAGAAAAAGAATACAAGGACAGATATAAAACCCAATAAGAAGGATAATAATAGTCACTCCAAAAAAGTAAAACTATACCCACTTTCTCATTCAATGGAATGAAAGCCTTTGGAGATAAAAACCTTTACTTGCTAGGGGCAGTAAGTTGCTTTGCTTGCTAGTGATGTTCCGAAAGTTCATTCATTTATTTCTTACGTAAGGAGTTGTTCCTTGTCTTTACTTCCGCGCTAAGATGTTCAAAAGCTAGAGCATATATTGTACAACATTCTTTGCCTTTCCACATCCTTAACTTGTGAACATGTCATCATCATTTCTTTCTTCACTAGCTAATTAAGTGAGCTTATCAATTACGTAGTATATAATTTATATTGATGGTCGAGTGTATATTAAGACGTGTATCTTAATAAGAAATTTGTTTTTTGCATGTATGATGACAAATGGCTTGCATATTATGTCACATTTTCTTTTTCCTATAAAATGAAAACAATATTCTCACTTCTTCAAAAACTGATTTCCGTAAATTTGTTACCAATTGCTCTCCCGTACCCGGCCTCCTATTGTATATTAAAACCCTACACAGGACTGGCGCTGGCCGGTGGTCCACCGACTGCCACCAAACTGGAAATTATCAGCGCTCGTTGAGACAACCACCTCCAAAGAAGCAGCACGAATCGAACAACACATAATTCTTATAGATCCTTAAGGTCACCGTACACTTCACCACTTCACTTGACTCATAAAAATCAAAGGGTCTTCTTCGCCCCTGATAAGGCATAGAAAAATTCACCCAAAATTGAGCGAAACTTTTCACTGAACATATCAGAGTTTTGAGGCAATTACTTTTGATCATAGCTAAGTTAGACATCTCAAAACTACCACGAACACAAAACAACCCAAGAATCATATAAATTGTCTAACAAAAGCAAAATAATACTTGAAATAAAACTAAAGCAAACTTGAAACGTCTTTTTCCAAATCGTCCTAGACACACATTCACTCCATGGCGGCAGTTCAAGAGGGGGACGGACTATCAATACTTCATATATTTTCAATTCTGACTTTCTTTTAAGTTAGTATATAATACATCTTAAAACGTAGGAGGCCCGTCCATTTGTTCCGAGACAATTATATAATAATGCATTTCTCATCATATCGGTTAGACTAGAAAAGTCTCAACGGTTGCCTTTTTAGAAGTTTGGCATCAATTATCTACCACCCTTTCTTTTAGAGAAAATGAGCAATAAGCCCTCAAACAATTAGCGTTTATACAACTAGGCCCCTGAACCAGAAGACGCGCAAATACATCTCTCAATTCATTGCAAATTAAGCAATCAGATCCTTTTTATCTGCGGGTGTCGATAATTTCTCATTAGAAAGTTAACTTAGCTTCTTACCTGCATGCACGAGCAGGTAAAAAGGATTTAATGGCTAAATTTTCGATGAGTTGCAAGTCTTCCAATTTATGGGCCTAATTATAGAATCACAAATATTTCTATGGCTTATTCGCCCTACAACATGTGTCATAAAACCGAAGTTCTACGTCACATTCAACATTTTAAATTAATGGTGGAAAACTAAAATTTAGATATTACGAACGTTACTTAAATTTACTTAAAACCTAAAGGTCTGCTCTCTATCTCTTTAATTCTAAGCATTTCTACATTACTTAAATTTTCCTTTGGTAAATCATCTAATAAGAGTTTTATGTACGGTCAATCAGGTCAACACACATGAAAATACAACAAACCGCATCCTGCAAATCATGGTGAACTTGGAAGAAATAACCTCATTATGAGCATATTGAATGATGGTCAAAGATCGAAGAAAGGCTTTAGAATGTGACCGATAAGATGTAGTAGGAGTAGTATTAAATAACAATAATGTTCTCATCAGCACTGTTAGGACTCGCTTGAGGTAGTTAGCAATTCAATTACAGCCCATCATTTGAAGAATTTATTTTTGAGAATTCATAAAATTGAACTCATCGTGCTTATCATTATTTAAGGACTTCAAGGTTACTATACAGATTTAATTTCTTTTCTGGCGAAGTTGAAGTTATGCATAAGTTTAGAGACTTTCATTTGAAGAGAGCTGGATCGGAAGGCTCCTCCCTAATGCGTTATGCGCGCAATTAGTGGCCAACTGGCCAAGCAAGAAGCTTCGTTGTTGTGATCTAAATTTAACAATTAACAGTATGTAATTTGAATGATGGTTTGTGTTTAGGTTTTTATAATTAATGTGTTTGTTAGTATCGTATATTGTTAAATGTTTAAAACCGATATATGTGAACAAGCTACAAAAGTAATTTTCATAATGGATTCATAAAGTTAAAAAGTGATGAACATGGAATTGTGGACGGATGACATGGAATGGTTGATGGATGATATATAATAGGTGGCATGGCAAAATTGGATGACATGGCAAAAAATTACCTTCATATGATAGATAAGTTTAAAAGTATCCTCATTTGACAAATAAGATTTCAAACTGTCCCTATTTGGGAAAAAACTTGAAACTTGATTGTACTAATTCCATAATTCTCCTATAGGATATATATAGGAAATATTAAAATTAAAATTCTAAAATTAAGTTTCAAACGCTTTAAATCCTTATACCCCCTTATTAGAGCGAGTATATTTCGAGTGAAAATCAACATTTGCATTGAGGGTGGGTCAAAAATTAAATAAATAACGTTTATTGCAAAACAATGTTGAAATGAAAAGATGTAGTTAAATAATACGAGTACTACATATTACAGAAATGTCAAAGAAAAAATAAATAATACAGAACCAACAATTTAATTATCTTAAAAGTCAAAAATACCGAACAGAGATTTGCTCGATTATTGAAATGTTCAGTACCTATTTTAAGATAATTTCTCAACTAATGTTTAAAACTGCAATGAAATGAATTAATTTTGGAAACAAAAATTGAAAATTTTAAAACACTACGTGTGAAACATTACTAGGTGTTAGTGTGTTAGACTGAAAAATTATAAACACTGCACTCCAGGGGTCCGAACTCAAAACCATACGAGTCACACACATACTCTTCTACCATCACGCAAACTTGACAAGTGTTCACAATTCCACGTTAGTTGTTATTATACACAATCATTAACCGTTTAGGAACCAGCGAACTAAGAGGTTGAATTATTAATCTATTAGTTTTTTTTAGTGTGGGACTAGGCCCTTCCCGATCCTATACCAGATCCTCCCCAAGTGTTTTGTCACAAGCGATTTTTCGATGGCACTATT